CGATGCAAAATATTTCAATTTATTATTTTTTTTTTATTCGTGAGCGCGTATATAAGTTTTGTATCCCATGTCCTTTACTTTTTTTAACAAAAAAAAATGCATTTCGAAACACACATTTCATTAAACTCGATTATTTCTTATTTTGAAAAGGTGGTATTCGGTCTGTATGGATAATTTCTAAAGTGGATATAGTATCACATTCTAAGTAAGCTAAACGGACTTCCTGAACAGCATGCTCGCCTAGGTATACTTTCTGAAATATGCCAGGGTAACATGTACATAAAGTTGGGAAAAAGCCAGTTATCGAGGTTTTATTTCTGATGTAGGTGTATCGTCTGAACAAAATTATGTGTCACGTTCGATTTAGGCTCGCTGAGATTTGAGGTGAAAGTTGAATGTAACTGAGTGAGTATTGTGTGATATTTTGAGTGACCTATATATATCGTTCAAGCAAGATAGATGCAAGATGTGACGTACGTTAGGTAAAACTTTAAATATATAGTTGTGTATCACCTTAAATGAAACTAAACTATTTTGGGTGTAAAGTCTAATGTCAGAAAGATGAAATACTTCAAGGTTATGGTGAATTTATAACTCACGACGACGATATGTGTAGCCTTTTGAAAAATGAACTAATGTAAATCTAAATGAAGGATGTATCCTGTAGAACAAGGCACTATGTAGAAAATTCTGAATTATGTTCGGTATGACATCTGAATTTGGTTAGAAATAATTTCCTAATGATTACATGGTCTTAATTAAGGGTGTATCATGTAGAATTAGCAACTTAGAAGATAAAAACTTAACTAATAACGGTAAGATTTCTGAGGTTGGCTATGTATAATTTCTGTAATAAGCTGTATGTCCTTTCTTTAATAAGAAATCTGATGTGAACTCAGTATGACGTCTGAGGATGGATACAATTCTTGTAACACACTATAAGCTTATCGTAGATCACAAATTAGTAAGTGTAGCATAAGATCATTCAGAACTGGCGAGGTGTGAAATATGATGTGAGCATGGTATGATTCTTCAGAAAGCTTATTGAAAGTCTGAGGTAAGTAGGTGAGTAAACTAGATGCTATGTCTGAAGTAAGGTCTGAAGTAGGTATAAGGGTAAACTAGATTGCAGGTACATACATGTGATAAGCTAGGTATGTCTTTCAGTGCATGCTATGTCTTACGTCATTTGAATCCTGTTCAAAATAGACTGTTTCGCCAGTTTGTCAAATTTGTATAAATGAAGTAAAGATGACATAGGTTACGATGTTTCAGCTGTTTATATGTCGATGTGTCATTACATAATCACGTATCTTACCTGTATCAACATCATATCGTTGTGCGAATCATGACGGTGTGTTGATCGACATGTCCCTGAATGTGACATGAATGTGACTCATGTTGTCCCAATGATTGCGGATAGCAGTGGGTTTCTGGATACATGTGTCAAAGCGTTGCACATTCTAATGACGGTATACCGAAAGCAGAATGGTTGTTGGTCAGGTTTATGCTTTCACATAACCCTGTTAGGGGTACGAGGGGGAGTACTATCAGTGTGTAGTAGGCCTTAAATATCAAGAGTGAGGATCTGGTCAAAGTACATTTGTGCAATAAGTTCTGAACTATTATATAGATATATTTGTGTATTTGTTTTATATCAATTTATTTAAAAGCCATATGAGTGAGAAAATAAACAAATGATAATAATCTAAAGTAACAAAACAAAAACATAAACAAACAAAACACAAAACAAAAGTATTATGATGACGGCTTTATTGACGTGACGTCATCTTGTTGAAAACACAATGTTACGCAAATTTAGAGTTTTTATGAATTGATATTCTTTCCTTTTTAACAAAATGGATACCACTGATATAAAGACACTACATTAAATTTATCGCCGGCTCAATTATGAATATGTTTATTTATTTGTAGATAACGTAGTGATGCTGTCTGTAAAAATATTCATATATTCATTACTTGTTTGTCCAATATAAAATTCACCACATTGATAAGAATTCGAACATTCTTATTAAAATGTATTGCCAAATAAATACAAACTATTTTGATATCTAAATGAAAATCTAAATCCAAGAATGGCTGAAAAGCTATTTCTAATTTAGATATATTAGTTTGTTTTTACGAATTCAATCCATTTGTGAATAAAAATCTAAATTTAAAGATGGCTGAAAAGCTATTTCTAATTTAGAAATAATACTTTGTTTTTACGAACTATTTCAATTTCTCAATAAAGGTTTAGATTTAAAGATGGCTGAAAAACTATTTCTGATGTAGATATATGTTGTCAAGTAAATACGAACTATTTTGATATTTAAGTAAAAACTTTAAATTTGCGGATATATGAAAAGCTATCTTCTAATCTGGATTATACATGTATATATAAGTATATATATATATATATATGCGTGTAAATGCGCATTATTAATAAATTATTTGTAACTATATCTAAATTCATCCATGCATGAAAAACTCTTTATTGTTCAGATAAATAACAAACTTAATGCAAGTTGTCCTGCCATTGATGATGGTTGAAAAGATATCCGTATTACTAGTAATATCTACCGTGACGGATAAATCTATCTTCATTATTCCATGGATGGTTGAAAAACTGCAAAATATGTATTTATGACTTAAATATTTTGATCACAAATAAACATCAACTCTAATGGACATTTTGAACGATTTTAAAGGAATATTCTTGTTAGAGATGTTTAAATATAACTGGGATATATTCGTTATTGGTTCAGTTTTTTTCATCTTAACATTACTATTGATTAATGACAAGATTCACTATTTCATATTTTGAATAAGAACTGGGCCCTACTGTCTACCATAGCTGCATATAAGCAGATGTTTGCATAAGTGTCCATTCCTTTTGTATATAAGAACCATTGAAAGTCATATATTTATTATTTGTCGGGAAAACAGTATTAACCTTACTTGATATCATATGTTTTAAATGTCTATATATTTTTTCAGTTGGCGATGGTAACAATTTTAGTTAGATTGTATTTAAAATTTGCTTATCTAACTACACAACGCAACATCTGGTCAAACCGACGCTTCAGACCAGTTACCGAAGATTTGATAACGTACCAATGCTTGACTTGTTGTTTTAATATAAAACCGAATCGCAATGTTTTTTATCTATTATCATATGATGTTATATTAATCAATGGAAACTAGCAAACATAATATGTACAGCGTTACATTCTTACACCTATATTATATAAGAATGTATATATATATATATATATGAATGTATATATTGATGCAGTGTTTCCAACTAAATCATGTCAATCAGTTTATTTAATCAAACTTCTTATGTTCTATTTTTCAAGAATATCAAATTCCGCTCATTTCTGCAAGTGAATTAAATTAACACATTTTTTCCGTGAAAGATATTGTACATATTGTCTAGGATTTCCATGCTTTTGAAAGAAAAAAAATGTTGATCGTATTGATGGGCATATATAATAGAATATCACTAAAATCTTATCATTTTATTTTTCAAACATGGCGTTTGTATTGACCAATAATGAGCATTGCTTATCCCTTCACACACGTCCTGGAACCTTTAAGCAATCCTTCCCTCATGTTTTTTTATAAGGAGTAGGTAAGTGTATTTAAATTATAGAATACTTTATATTGCTCAAAACCACTATTTTGAATTAAACTTTGTTTTATTGATGTATATTTCAATACGATATATGATACAATCAATGAACAAATTCAGAAACAAGTACAAGTACTAATGTAAATCCGTCTCCTTATATCTATAGAATATTTATGGAACAGTATTGGCGACAATATATATAACTTGTGCGGAGAAAAGGGAGAGAAACTGTGTAAGGGTTTCGATGGGGGTAATGTTGGGGTATTTCAGCATTACTGAAACAAATGCTGATTGCATGATATTTGTGCTGCATATGTTGTCAAAACACATATTTTTTCAAATCATTTTATTTGTTCAATGTTTGTTTAATCAAATTGGAAACTGGAGGGGGCTTTACATGTCCGTTTGGTTTAATCCTGTTTGTCCCAAAACTGAAAAAAAAATCTATGTCCTGTTTGTCAAAAAGGGGTCTTCCCCGAACACCAACTCTGTATATGACAACATGTTTACACAGGGGGTCAACTGTGATGATAGTGGATTATAGGCTGTTTTAGAATTGTAGTACAGGTAACTTGCACAGGTAAATTCTGATAACTGTTCAGAAAACAGGTAAATCAGATGATCAAGTTCTGATTCTGATAACTGTTAAGAAAACTGAAAACTGTTAATAACTGTACAATAAAGGAATCAAATATCTTTGTTAAATCTGTTTAAATCCCAAGCTATTCAATGGGAAATGTATAAAAGCCAAGTTCATTTTGGGAAATTATCATATTTCAATTTGCACTTTGAAAGATCAATATCTCAATCATTGCTTGATTTATTACTGTACTTTTCTCACAGATATATATTGTCAAATCATAACTTTTGTCATATATATATTAGTTAATCTTGTATTTTCTCTCAGTTTTTGTGTAAATTGTAACTTTTGTCAAATATTAGTTAAATCTTGTATTTTCTCTCAGTTTTTATGTAAATTGTGTTTAATTTGAGTGATATTATTATCTGTGTTGTTTGATACAAGGACAGTATGGCTAATGCTCAGATCAACGTTAAGTTCATCACCAACAGAAGAGGCGGACAGAACCTTTCACATAATGGATTCATCTTCAGACAGATTCGAAAGAACGGCAGCAGGACATTCTGGAGATGTTCAACCTCAGGCTGCTCAGCATCACTCTCGACAATCTACAACATACCAGCTAACTTCGGAAGAAATCCACACACCCACCCCTCAGACCCAGCCATTGTTGTAGCCAAACAGATCATGAACCAGATCACTAATAAATGCGTATAATCGGTCCAGCCTATTCCGTCCATCTTTGAGGAAGAGCTCAATCAACTCCGAGACAACGACTGGGATGACACTTCCAAGGCCGTGGTCCAGCGACTACCAACATTCTTCACAGCGAAATCGTCTCTTTACCGTGCTCGCCGCAAGCAGACTCCTCCACTACCTTTGGCCGACATCACCTTGGATGGAAGATGGACAGAAGCATCTACAGGCGAACCATTTCTCCTCTTTGACGACGGTGAACAGAACAACAGGATGATCGCATTCGCTTCGTCGGAGAACCTGGCCGAACTTGCAGCATCTGACACCTTCTTCTGTGACGGAACTTTCTACACCTGTCCAACAATGTTTCATCAGATTTACAGCGTCCATGTACAGAATGAAGGCATCATGACACCAGTCGTATACGCATTACTACTCGGAAAGAGCCAGGCAATCTACAGCCGTTTCTTCACCCTTCTCCAGGGTCACATGGCACACTTCGACATTCCATTCCGACCCACTACAGCCTTCGTCGATTTTGAGGTAGCTGCACACAACGCCATCCGACATGTTTTCCACGGTATCACCATTAAGGGATATTTTTTCCACTTCAACCAGTGCATTTGGCGAAAGGCCCAGTCTACCGGACTCCAGACACTGTACCGTGACAACGACGACGTCAAGCTACTTGTTCGACGAGCTGCTGTTCTACCACTGATCCCCTTAGACCGCATCGAGGACGTCTGGTTCCAAACCCTCCAAGAAGCTGATGATGCTGACATTCCACATCCCGTGTTGCCATTCACCGATTACGTCACGGAGCAATGGATAGAGGGAGATCGTACCACCCTGAACCACTTCTCAACCGAGGGACCCCGGACTACCAACCATCTGAAAGCTTGGCACGGAAAACTGAAGATAAAGGTACTGCATGCCCACCCCAACATCTACACCTTCATCCAGACGTTTAAGGACATGCAGAACATGAACGCCATCAGCCGGATTCAGAGAGACGCAGGAGGCACCATTCAACCCCGGAAGAAGAAAAACGCCAACATTGACAGACGCCTGGCCACCTTGAAGGAACGTTACCAGACTGGGACAATCGACCTGATGACCCATGCTGATTCAGCATCCGAGCTTCTGCATCTTGGATAGAGTGTTTTGTGTTTTCTGGACTTATGGATTACTTGATTATCACAGGTTGTAAAAGGACATAATATCTAGATAACTGGATAATGTATTGTCATACATAGTGCTAATTCAGTCATTTAGGGGTTTACTATTTATTTTAGATAATAATTTATTTAATGCTAAAATGTGGATAATTTTTCAATATTATATATGTAATACAAATACAATTTAATAACAGACATCAGTGTATCATTGTGACTTACTAAATTTTATTTATCAATTAAATATAATCTTATATGATAATCATTAAAATTATAAATAACAATTTTAAATACTAATAACTATTTTGTAATACTTCATATACTACAAAAATGTGTTACATTTATATATGTAAAACAAAACAAAAAAACTTTACCTATTTCCTTATTGATATGTACGTATCCTATTTACAAGGACAAGTTGACATTCTTAGTTGAAACAGACTATAACTTTAACATCAAAGGATTCCCTTTAGAAACACCCTCCTTTCAAGTTGGCAGAGTTGGTGTTCGGGGAATGAGCCGTCAAAAAACATTATGTACACAAATAGGGCAGTGTGTTGTTATAACATTTAAGGTACCTGTGTGTGTTGTTTTAAAAGGTACAGAACTTGTCCAAAATTTTATACTAGTAAACTTACACAGGTAAACCATAAAGCTATTTAAAACATTTTGAAAGAATCAAATACAAATATTATCATAACGTAAACTAATATATATGCATGTATGAATAATTAATATGAATTAGATAAAATAATATAAATAGGATATCAGAAACAAATGATTTTGTTAAAATTTATTTAAAATTTATATAATTTTAAAATATTTTAAATAATTTCATTTTGTATTATATATATATATATATTTAAAAATTTCAAAATTCACATTTAAAATATCTAATATCACATTTTAAAAAAATTGTGAAAATACAAATGGTTGCCTAAAACAGGTAAGTGGATTAAGAGGAAGTAGTGAACACCCAAGCTAGATATGCATAACTGTACTGGAACAGTAGTAACCAATAGGATGAGGTGAACTTCCAAGCCATCCTGAGTGAGTAGAAATACCCAAGCTGAAAAGCATATATATATCAGACACTGGAAGGGGACAGTATCATTGTAAACATGGCAAACTATCAAGTTCAAGTTCAGTTCACAACCAACAAGCGAGGGGGTAGGACTTTACTTCAGGCCGGATTCCGCTACATGGTAAAGAACAACTACCGACACACTCTACTCGATGGAACATTCTACACATGCCCAAGATTCTTCAGCCAGCTGTACACGGTCCATGCTATGATAGATGATCAAATGTACCTGCTCGTATCCGCCCTTTTACCAGGAAAATCGCAAGTCATCTACACCAGATTCATGGAGAATCTATAAATTCAACTCAACCAATCTACAATATTTATGGACTTAGAATCTGCCGCCCAGAATGCAGCCAAAGCCGTCTTCCCAGTTTTTCCAGTGAAATGTTGTTTCTTTCATTTCACGCAGTGTATTTGGAGAAAGACCCTGCTACGTGGACTCCAGACCTACTACACGGAAAATTAAGACATCCACAGACTGATTCGCCGAGCCGCGGTTCGTCCACTAATACCACCACATCACATCGAGGACTACTGGTTCAACGCCTTGGAGGACCTTGAAGACGTCGACCTACCCGTAGATACAACACCATTCACTGACTACGTCACCACCAATGGATAGAAGTAGACCGACAAGTTTGGAACCACTTTGACAACGATGGACCCAGGACCACAAACATCTTGGAATGATGGCATAGCAAACTCAAGAAAAAGATCCCACACGCACATCCAAACATTTTCATATTCCTCAGAGAATTGAAAGACATTCAAGCTACCAATTACATTAACCGCCTACAACATGCTGCTGGAGGACTGCCTGTGCCGAAGAGACGCCGCTACAGAATGCTAAATGACCGTCTTATCCAACTGAAAACTCTCCCACGAAGACAGAGCCACATACCTGTTGCATATGGACTGATTTCTTTTTATTTTAAATTGTGTAAATTTATTATATATTATAGTGGTATTTAGTGCTAAATTTACCTGCATTTTAAATAAAAACTCTTGGTAGATTAATTCCTGGTATGTTTTCCTAGCCATTACAGACTTATACATACAAAATTCTGTTTGTTCCAAAAAGTACTTTACCTGATTTTTCAGTTTTGTGACAAACAGGATGACACCGCCCGTTTGTCCGACTGCCCCGCCCATCCCTCTGTTGTTTGTTGCCGGGCTTTATCTCCTTCACTATTGGTCACTGGTATTTCATGCTTTAGGTATGGCTTCACTTTAGTAAGGCAGTGTGTCGCATATCAAAAGTAGATAACGCGACCAACATTTTGACCTGAGTGACTGCAGTTTTTTTTCTAGTTTATTATCCATCAGTTATTAGAAAAAAGGTTAATGGTAGTAATGCAAGCATCGTATTTTAGGGTTTTTAAGGAATAAGCTATAGATGAATAAATAAAATTTCACTTTGTGTTCAGAGATTTTGTAGCATGATTAACCCTTTGATAATTCCACGTTGTTCTGTATTCTGATGTTTGGTTTGGTTTTTGGTAAGTAAGACTGCGTGTAATTTGTCTATTATAATGATTATTAACAGCTAGTAAGTAACATTTAAACAGTATGTATGTTAGCAATCAAGTGTTATATATGAAACTGTAAATGTGAATCACACATTGGGAAGACATAATCTGTTATCAAAGGCATACTATTTGATAGTTTGATTTCAACATCCTGAACAAATACAGATACTGCGTTTCACAAAACTATGTTTCGCAAAACAAAGCATTCCTCTAATTTTTTATTCGATGGAGTAAGAAATCTACAACTTAACTTATTTGACACAAATAGAAATTTTCCTAGTTGAAATAATTTCTTGGAGTTTTTCATACAAAGCAGTTGTATAAATAATAAAAAAAAACATTGGCGGTTTTCTCTATATAACGTTGTCTTGTGATTTTTGTAGGCATCACATATTAAAATAAACTGATGTTCATCCTTGGCTTCGGTCGTTGAATTACAAATTGTACGGTATCTTTATGATCTTTGACATATAAAATCTTCTCGGGGAAGTTCTCTATGTTCTTGGATTCTAGAATGGTTAAGCAGTCTTCTGCATTGTAAAGTATATATGCCGAGCTTGAATGGTTTGATGCTAATTTGATTTACCTTCCTATAAAATAAGGGTGATATTCTAATGTACATGTCAATCGATGCTGGATGTTTTTCGACTATGTGGACGAATTCAATTCAATGGAGTCTTTGGTCGTATTCTAGTGAGGTTTGATCCTAGTGTATATAAACATATGCCCTTTTGTTTTCAGCAACTTTCTTTATGGTATCATTTTTGTATATATCAGTTTTGACTTACAAAACTATATTTGGACTTTGAATTGAATTTTAAACATTTCTTTACTTTTAGAAGTAAAGAATTTATATGTGTTTGATCTATTCTGTTTTGAATAACAGTCACAGAAGTGTGTCTTGCACTCATTATTTGCATGTTATTTGCATTGTTTGCAAAGCCTCTTCGATATTTGTAAATAGTGATAATTTTTAATGTAATATTTGCTTAATGTGTAAACTTATATGAATTATGTTTCTTGGATTTTAATGGCGGCATGAGCCCCATTCACCGTGTAAATAGGTTTTTTTGTATATATCAGTTTTGACTTACAAAACTATATTTGGACTTTGAATTGAATTTTAAACATTTCTTTTCTTTTAGAAGTAAAGAATTTATATGTGTTTGATCTATTCAGTGTGTGTCTGAATAATTTGCATGTTATTTGCATTGTTTGCAAAGCCTGTGTAAATAGTGATAATTTTTAATTATTTGCATGTTATTTGCATTGTTTGCAAAGCCTCTTCGATATTTGTAAATAGTGATAATTTTTAATGTAATAGCCCCATTCACCGTGTAAATAGGTTTTTTTGTATATATCAGTTTTGACTTACAAAACTATATTTGGAATGTTTTGAATAACAGTCACAGAAGTGTGTCTTGCACTCATTATTTGCATGTTATTTGCATTGTTTGCAATCTGATATTTGTAAATAGTGATAATTTTTAATGTAATATTTGCTTAATGTGTAAACTTATATGAATTATGTTTCTTCGATTTTGATGGCGGAATGAGCCCCATTCACCGTGTAAATAGGAATTAGGAACATGAATGTATACCATACTTACTCAAATATTGACTTATAGAAAGGGTTTCGTTTTTATTGGAATTCATAAATATATTTTCAATTTACCAAATTACATTTTGATGTAATGTGATGGTAAGACATGTTGTAGACGAAGTGGTATTCACATTAACAAAGAAAAAAAGGAAGAAGAGAATAAGTTTTATCCAGAATAAACAATACACACCAACTGGATTCTGCTGTCATATGGCATTCCAATAAGATAGACATGTAACATTCATTAGTAAATAACCAGATCATTTCATATTTATTGTTTCTCCTTTCCTTTTTTTTTTTTTTTTTTTGTTATTTTTATTTTTTTTTTTTTTTTTTTTTTTTTTTTTGTTTTTTTTTTTTTTGTCATAATTGTTTTCATATGAAAAGCTTATCATTTGGAAGTAGTTTTTGTTTAAGACATTGAATGACTTTTATTTTGATTTTTGTTTTTGTGATGAATTGATTGTATTATAGATGAATATAACAAACTTGATTCTGTAAGGTTATGGGCGTAGTTTATGCTTACACTGATACAATTTAAACGTCTTACTTAAATGATATATTATGGATATATACTTACTTACAGATTTCGTTGTGTTATCTGAAATATGTTTAAATATGATTTATCAATATATTCATATTCTGTTTGTCTCATTTCCTTTCCTTTTTCCGTCTTTCTTTCTTTTATAATTTCTATCTTACCTCCATTGGTACATATTTCATCATTAAATATTTCTAATAAGCCTACTTTATTTTATAGATATCTGGTGTGATGGTGGTTATGTGTTTCTTCTTCTTCTTCTTCTTCTTCTTCTTCTTCTACTTTTTCTTCTTCTTCTTCTTCTTCTTCTTCTTCTTTTCTTGTACACTTATTTAGATTCATTTCAATACAAGTTTGATCAACTCAGTATTGACCATTCTTTCATGCTCAGATAGTAAACAGACATGAACACGTAAATAGAACACCCGGAGTACCCGCGA